AAAGAGGCAGCAGAGGTGGCAGGCAGCCAGCAAAGGAAAAAACAAAAATAACAAGGAGCTCGAGGTATCTTCCAAGATCATCGTAGAGAGGGCATGGAGAACAAGAAATCGGTAGACCACGGATCATCTGTCATATTTACTGCTCTTAATCTGTAGACAACAGTTCATCTGTCATATTTGCCGCTCTACATTTTTTAATGTGAAGACAACAACAACAACAACAACATCTGTAGGCCACAGGTCATCTGTGAAATATNGTATCTTCCAAGATCATCGTAGAGAGGGCATGGAGAACAAGAAATCGGTAGACCACGGATCATCTGTCATATTTACTGCTCTTAATCTGTAGACAACAGTTCATCTGTCATATTTGCCGCTCTACATTTTTTAATGTGAAGACAACAACAACAACAACAACATCTGTAGGCCACAGGTCATCTGTGAAATATATATATATATATGCCTCTCTACATATATATATCTTTAGGCCATCGGTGATATTTGCCACTCTAGTCTACATCATCTGTCGACCACAGAAGATCATGCGGGTGGTCTTTCGTGCTGCGTGGCATGTGCCATGTCAGTTTCTCGAGAGAGCTCCCCTACACCTTCGCACACCTTCCACACACCACACAGCTCCCACACTCAGCACAGCTCCCACACACGCGAGAGGCTACGCGCGCCTAGCATGGCAGACATGAGTGGCGGCAGCTCTGCCGCCACCTCCTCGGCTGCAGACCAAGAGGTTATCCCTGTGGACGGTGATGGGAGCCCGAGTCCTCCGACGACTCGCCTGACACCAGAAGAAGAGGTATGTATGCGGAGTGCGGCCTTCTCCCTCGTCGATTGTTATTGTTCTTGAACTCCAACCTCTGTAGGAATTCAACGTGGACTTTACCTAATGGTAATAGTTATAACTATATTGTTAATATTGTTGTCATTGTGCATTGTTGTAGGGTCCGTCTTCACATAAACTGTACCGGTCTCCGCTCAGTACCTTCTGCTGCTGAAATGTCCCTACTGACTGCTGTTTGTGAGTATTAGTATTTGTATTTGTAACTCATTGCGATCGATAGTTCGACGTTTTGCTCTCTGACGAGAACACGTTTGAAACTTTCAACATTTTCGCGTTTGTTTGCACCGTACCCCCTGGCCGCTCCAACCGCCAGGCGGACACCAAGGCAACCGCCATGCGCGACATGCCGACACCGGTCGGGTACCGGCGGTCTACCTTGCCGCCCCCGTCTGGGACCAGGTCCATCGTGTTCGACCACGGTGTGAGTTTCGAGCAAGATTGCGCCAGACCGGACCCCAAGAAGAAGAGGTGGTACTGCATGGGCTCGGACAGATGTCGAGAGCTGTCCATGGCCGGCAAGACGTGGATCAACTGCCAGGAGAAAGGTACCGGCAACGCCACTCGTCATCTTCGAGACGCGCACGGTAAGTACTACAGTACAACATATGCATTGCAACTACCTTCAATTTTTGAATTTTGAATGCTAAGTAATACTTGCTGCGCGGAGTATTGATTTTGATTTTGTTTAGATCCATTCGTTGACGCTCTTTCTTTTCAAAGAAAGGTGACACAGCAGCGGGTGGGTGGTGTTTTCGTAACACTTAAACACACTTTATGAATATAAATATCATATTTTTATGTATTTTATGTAGATAATGTGTGTGTGTGCTTTCGTCCTATGCTTTTATTATGGGAACAGCAGTGCTGCCCCCGTTTTCGATGAGACGTGTTCTTGTACAATCTTAATATATATGTAGTTCAAGATTTCTAAACTTTTCAGGGTATTTGTTCGTATATACTACACTACAACCATCCAGGGTCACACAAGAGGGGGTAAATACCGGGCTTCTTGCTTGTATTTTTACTCTCGTGCTGAATCGAATTTTAATGGCGAGAAGGGTCCAGCCGTCCCTTTCCGTCGTCAACGGTGTCTTGTATAACGTCGAAATTGGTGCTCACGCTTTACCCGCAAAGTTGGTAAATACAAATATTAATTTTCACCCCCATCGGGATTCAAACTTTGCCACTAAACAGACGTTTCGAGGTAAATAATAATTTTCACTGTTTTTTGTAGCATGAGGCATTCTCCCACGTTAATTTTGCACTTTTCTTTGGCTCTTTCTGATATGTTCCCCGTGCAGATAACGCCGGCAGGTAAAGAAGAATTCTGTTGAGAAAAAAAGGCTCAACTTTCAGAGAAAAATAGGAAAAAAATGGATAAGATCACAGCTCAAATCTCGGCAACAACATAAGAAACGCCCCAATAAGAAATATGATGGTGCAATCCCCCCACGACGTAGGAAACAAGGGACAGCTGGGGGAGCGTGTCCAGTAAGAAACGTCCCACTGCTGCTCCTTCGGTGCTCCCACCCCCCTAACTAGCTGAAGAGTGCATGCTTTTTGTAGGGGGGAGAGTGGTACTGCCACCCATCGTGGACAACCACATGGCGTCTGTACGGGTTTGATGGCACTCGCCACTACTTCTCTTGAAGGCTTGATGACGTGGATTGTCCTCAGAGATCAAAGGCAGGAATGAGAAAATGCTAAGTACTTCTAAGCAATAAGAGAATCAGGAGGATGCGAGAGTCCAAAGGACCAAAGGATTAAGAAATACTTTTGAAGAAAATGGACGAATTAGGCTAGTCCTTCGACCCAAAAACAAGGGATTGAGGCTCGACCTGATTTTGACGTTTCGTAACAGCGAGCGCTATCTGTAGTGCATTGTATTAGATCTGCCTCGACGTGAAGATTAGGATTGAATGAAGATAGAAGATATAGTAGCTGTCGCTAAAACGAGCGACAGCTGATAGATGTAACTGTCGTCAGACGTGTGCGTCCGCGGGAGGTGGAAGAGACCCTTTCTTCTTCTTTTTCTCTTTGCAATTCACGTCATTGGTTACCCGCGACGGCGCTGAAGACGCCCATGTCCGTGTACTTGACCCTCGTACTCTGTGCTAACTCCCCAAGTCTAACCTCTTCCTGCAGCCTAGCCTTCATCGTCGGCGAATTTCCAAGGTTACCAATCCTGTCGAAACTCATGGGCTCTACCATGAGGTCCACAAGTCTCTTCGCCCTACTGAGACAGACGAAAGTAAGCCCCGTGCAGGCCTCCTTGGGCCCCAAGTCAATGACGGCCTTGGCTAAAGTCTGCCCCTG